ATACCTAGATATAGACTATAGATAGATAACTAGAAGTTTACCTGTATTTGCAGCTTCTTGTACTCCTCTTTGCTAACCAAACAATCAAGTACCTAATTCAACAGATAGACGCCTAAATACTGAATGGTTACTCAATTTCAAGTAGTAGTTAAATAACATCCCGTATCTGTCATTTTACAAAGAATTATAGAAACAGAACTATACTTAAGCATGCCTCAAAAATGAGTAGTGTTTGAGTATTTCAGCGAAAGTCAGTCAAATGTCATGGATGTATAAATACAGGGAAACATTTAGGTACGTCATGACCGGAAAAACGTGAAAAAATAGAATTACTTTCTTTCCTTCCTGTAAAAGTTTAGTATTTTATTGGGTAACAAAATTATTCCTATTACAAGGAAAAAGAGTTGTGTTTAAAGTAATCGAAACGAGACGGCGTTCTGTGCTCTGATTGGTTGGTTCATTAGAGCCGGCCAATCACAGCGCCGAATGCGTACTCGTTACGATTACTTTAAAAAACACACGAAAAAGAAACTCGTACTAAGGCTTCTGTATGTATATTGATATTCGAATTTACACATTTAAGTGATCAGATAGAAAATTAAACTTATCGACATAGCCCAAAGGATCAGTAAGCTGAAGTGGCAGTGGGCCGGTCACATTTGTCGAAGAACCCATAACCGTTGGGGTAAACGTGTTCTAGAGTGGAGACGCCCTCCAGCTAGGTGGAGTGACGATATCCGCAAGGTGGCGGAGCGTTTTAACTTCTAATTTAAAATTATAAATTCGGGTTTTTTACAATGTTTTCCTTCCCCGTTTGTGTGGTGTTTAAATAATTATAGAAAGTACATAGCAACAAGGAAAATCGCATTGGTACTGGCCAGGTTTCGAAACCTCGGTGTCAGCCGTAACCAGGTCGGCACAACGTGTACAACGAATAAAAATGTAGAAGAGTATTAATAGATCATCTGCATACATGTATAAAAATATATGCCCCACTCACTTCCCTCAAGTATAGAATTCAGGAGTCAGTCAATCAGAAAATCTCTCCCTCGAGTACTTAACCTTGATTTTTTAAATAAAACTTCAGCGACATTATACTTCCACTGATTTCACACAAAGATGTGGATACACGTACTATGTATGATTAGATGCTTGCGTGTATTATTATTTGTTTTGCTTTTGATTTTTGTATTTCGATGTAACAAATCTATATCAATACATAGTATAAAACAAAGTCGCTTTCGCTGTATGTCCGTATGTATGCTTAGATCTTTAAAACTACGCAACGGATTTTGATGCGGTTTTTTTTAATAGATAGAGTGATTCTTAAGGAAGGTTTGTATGTATATACATATTGCACCCGTGCGAAGCCGGGGCGGGTCGCTAGTATTATATAAAAATGAAAGCAGTTTCCCGTTGTCACGCCATAACTTGAGAATGGCTGGACCGATTTGGCTGATTTTTTTGTTGTGTTTGTTATTGTCAGGGGAAGGTTCTTATGATAAAAAAAAAATCCTGGAAATCTTATGGGATCGGGAGAAAACGGGATTGCGTGGGCAGAAGCCAGTGATAAATAAAATCTGGTTTATATTATGCCGCGTAAACTGGTATCGTACTATTTGATTTCTGATTTTCTTCCGTACCTATTTTAAACAGAACTCTTTTATTTGCTGGTGAAACGTTTATTTAAAAATCTTCAATATTAGCTTTATATTTATTAGAAAAAGAAAGAAAAATTGTTTATTTGCACACCGTCACAAGGTACAATAACACAAAAAAAATAAAATAAAAAAACAATACAGTAAAGACGGCGCAAAAAGGCAAGAGCTCAGCTTAAATGCCGTGACACGAGTGTGCTCGAGTCGCGTTATTGAGAGAGATACTAGAGCATCTGGGCTTCTTACTTCACTATAACTAGAGAGTTGACCGACATCAACATCACATCAACAGCCTATAAGTGCCCACTGCTGAGCAAAGCCTCTTCTCACACGAAGAAGGTTTGAGCATTAATTACAACGCTTGCTCAATGCGTGTTGGCATCAACACCTATAATGAATGGGATACAAGATCCTCTGAATATATCAGCTTCGAAGTTTCCACTCAGCAGAATCATAAAGGGCGTTATGCTACAATGGGTGTTCAATGCTCATACCCGTAAAATCCTTGTGAAATTAATGTTTTGTAATTTTAACTGCTAAAAGCACAATACATACTTTATTGTTAAAAGGTTTGCATGCATACCTAATTAAACTAATTAATTAATTTCCAGCAATATTGCTAGGGTAATAAAATTGTTTACTGAATTAACACGCCAATTATTGGGAACAATGTCATTGTAGTTGTCATGTATCTTATTATAATTGACATAGTATTTATTGTACAATAGACTAAATCAGAGCCTTGTGTCCTAAAATATCAAATACCAACTAACCCGGCAAATTCGTACCGCCTTAAAAAAAATCTTACCTTTTAAACCTTCCCTTTACTTCCAAGAACATTTCAAGATCATAATTAGGCAAATCAGTTCATCCGTTTTCAAGTTTAAGCGAGATTAATGAACGGAAATTAATTTTTATTTATATAGAAAATAAAATCCCTAACATCGACAAAATAGAAACATAATCCGATAAAAAGTATTGCTGATAAGCTGTCAATAAAAATATTGATCCTTCATCCTTCCTAATTAGTCTAATCCTTTACAACAAAGCCGTTGGAGGGAACATTTTTGTAATGATAAACGATACAATTAATGTTTGTAATAACTTATATTATACTAGCTTTTACCCGCGGATTCGCTTGCGTCACAAAAGGATAAAAGTAGCCTATGTGACATATACCAATACACACAGCGCCATCTATACCAATTCTTTTGTTTTCCCTCGGGAATATCAAAATTTTCCGGAATAAAAAGTACCCTATTATTTAATCCGGACTTCTAACTTTACGTCTGCAAAAATTCAAAGTAATCGGTTTAGAAGTTACGGCGTGAAAGCGGAACAAACAAACAAACAAACTCACGTAAGGATATAACTTAACAACAGTACTAAGTACAGTACAGGGTCAGCAAGACGCATGTTAATGCCCCAAGTGTTGCAGGCGTATATAGGCCACGGTAACCGCTTACCATCAGATGGGTCGTGTGTTTTTTGCCAATGTCGTGGTAAAAAAAAAACTTATTGAATAATTTGGGGTCACTAGGAAGATAGTATCAAATATCATTCTTAGTGGGTAATGATCGGCAGACGTTAGCGATGCACTGTAGAAAATATTATCAACAGCCCTTGACCGTGCAACAGTTCTTTACTAGACCCTTTGGATCGTAATTTAATAGGTTTATATCGTATAGTATAGTATCATTATTTCAAATTATAAGTGTACATACTAAGGTACATATGTACCGTGTTTAAAAGAATCATTCATAGCTTTTTATTTTATATTAGGAGTTAATTCCGTAGTCACATTAAATTTTGACGTTGTATTGTCGTTACATCGTTGTCACATACATTAGATAAAGGATCAAATTATAATGTATCAATGAGACTGTAAATAACATTTTTTTAAAAGAGTAATGGTGGAGTTTCTTTTTCGTTCTTCTCCATTCGAAATTACACTTTGGAACAAGCGCCTAGCTTCACTGATAAACTGACGGACGGACAATCCAATTTTAACGTTTTAAAAGTATCTAATTAAGGATTAATTGAAATAAATGCTTTGACTTTGACTTTGAATCGTCAGCCATTTCAGTGACACCCACGGGAAGAACAGTAGTGATGACCAACGTCTTCTACTCTAACGTCACAATAATGGCTGTAAACAGTACGTAAAAGAGTAAACATTTTAAATTCAAAAGATAAACTTCCACCTCCATGAAATCGATTGCATTGAAGGTTGATAAAACAAATACAAAAACTAAATACCGTCTGATCAATACAGCTCCTGTAAAGCGAAAGGATTGAAGCAAAAATCACGTAAATCGGATTAGTTTGATTGTTAAGCTTTATACCTATAAACCATACAACAATCGATGGTATTTTCCATCGATGGGGATAACTGTAGGAGGATCTTGTCTGAAAAATATTTAATCTTCGTAATTATATTTAAGTCTTGGTTCTTTTAGCCACACGTCCATGGAGACTCACCAAAAATATTTCTGCCTAAACAGTCCATGGGAAAGCTAGTCCCCGAGCGACTTCAATTACTTCTAACCCATATAACGCTTTATTTTGACATTATAAGTACCATTGGAAACTACTATTATAGCTATGTATTAAATCACAGAGGCTACTGACCCTTAGAGAATAAAACCAACTCTGATTTTCAAAGTACTGAGTACGACATAGACATTACAAAAGTTGATTTAAAAAGAATATAAAATTGAAATAACATAATCGATATTCATAATGTCCCTTTCAACTGCTAGTATATTTCTTAATTAAAGAAACAGCAATTTTTATGAATGAAATGTATAATCAACATTTTAATTACTTTAGTTCTCTACCATACGGGTGTTAAACCCCTTTGCGTAGAATAATGTAATATCTTTTACATACAGTTACATCACAATACAAGTAAGAAATTAGCGTATTTTAAAGACTTTAAACTAGGTGCATAGGTAATGAGTGGGTTGAAATACTAAAATTAGTTTGAAATAAGTGAATATATGTACATTAAATAGTAATTTGTATAATTTTTTCTCATGCTGTTTAAACGGCAGGATTATAATCCTGCAACACTTTCTGCCTGCGGTTAATATACTATGTATAATTATATTAAGTGTAATACAGAATATTTTTTGTCTTATCTCATTTTGTAAGGTTATACAACAAGCTGTATAAATTGTTTTATCATGAGGCCCTTATGCCAGCTTCTGTACTCGACCGTGTATTGTGGGCGTTGTCAGTCAATCAGTCAATAACTGAAGAGTTTTATACGTATTACGATTGATTATTAATATGTTTATTTATGCTTCTATCCTTAAACTAGCCAATTTCTTGTTACAGGCCTAGTATTTTTACAATACCGGAATGAAACGAAACGAGCGTTGCTGCCTAACGAGATAACTTCTATAGATACTGTCAAAGCACTATTTGTAAGAAGTTTTCCCAAGCAGTTGACGATGCAGTACATGGACAGTCCACTAGTGAAGATCTACATCCACGATTCTTCGAAAGATATGTTCTATGAACTAGAAGATGACAGGTTAGTGAACATTTTTGTTTAAGTGTGTTGGAGCATTTACAGGGATGTGTATTACAGCATTGTAATTGTTGCCTTAAGAGACATATTCACAAGTTCTTTGATTATAGTCGTCCGTTGGCGCCCTAGTCATTTGTTACCAAAGTCACTCTCCTCTTGGATCAAGCAACTATTCTCTAATAAACTTGAATTTTTTATCTGAGGTCACGAGTTATGCCAATTGTAGAAATAATGGCAAACTCTTTTGTTAACTAAAAATCGCTGGTTACTCAGGTGAATATACAGATAAAAGCTCTACTAGTTTCGAACCACAGATGGATTCTTCCTCAGCAGCCGCAGCCTACACTCTCGCGTGAGATGACACGAGGTTGAGGTACAATACAGTCTTATAATGCGAGAAAGACTACAACTCTTTTAGAATAACAACAATGTATCTCGGCCTCGTCTCGACTCGCGCGGGAGTGTAAATGTAGCATTAAAAGCTTTCACCACGCGGCCGGCGCGCCGACCGCGCGCCGCCCTTGTATTGGAAGTGCGTGGTCAGCGCGCCGACGCCGCGTCGGCCACGCGCCGCCCGCTATTTGGAAGCGCGTAGTCCGCGCCGACGCCGCGCCTTGCTTTTTAAATTTGGGATGACCTTTAACGTTGCCGCTTCGTGGACAGTTTTCATTGTTTTTTAGGCAAGCTTTTGACATTTGTATTTGTCAAATGGTTAAATCTAAACAGTTACTCTAGTACTGAATTATATTAAATCTTATTATTTAATCACCGGTAGAAATTTGCTGCAACGGTAAGTAATAGTTTTCCTTCGTGAACCAATAAAAAAGATAAGATCAATCTAAAAATGATATTGGAAAATTGCAAATGTGTGACAAAGGGCCTTGTAACACGTTCTGTATGCAAGTAATAGTTTAAGAGCCGGCGACAGATTTATCTCTGAGTACCTTTTAAGAGGACAATTAATTAAAATGCGAGTGACGCGTGCAATTTAAACTCCATGTTGGAAAATAAACAGAATACCGCGATTGATTTTTAGTGGGGTAACTTAGCTCATCCCAGTATCCCACAGCACTTCCATTCACGGTGTTAATAATGTTTTTACATGATCTATGTGTGTTGTGTTTAAAGTGAAATAATCAAGCAAGCATAATAGAGTAGTTTCTTAAATTTTATTTTAATGTATGTCTGGTAAAGTAATTTAAAACTTTAGACAGGTATTTTTTTCTTTTTTCACAAAATTAAATACTTTCGACGCTATATTAATTTGAAATATCGTGTGACGTCACAACGTGCCACATTTTGTAGCACGTTATGACGTAAACACATCCCACTCCTAAACTTAGCGCGCAGCATTTTCGCTGTTATATTTGTTGCGTTACCAAATTTTTTGGTGACGATTAATTTCATAATTTTTTGTAGCCGACTCTTAGACTAAGAGGTCCCGATTTGAATTTATCATAGTAATACTATTCGGAATGCAATTTAAACTCGATTTCTCATGGAAATAAAGTCTGCTCGAAGGTTGGCCGTTCCTGTGCCTACTTACATGTTTTGAAATATCTTTGTGCACTTCACGTCCTCACAGGTATATGACATGTTATTGTTAGATATGTATATGTGTGCGACCATATGTGGCTATCGAACAATAGGATTTAATTACTAGGTCAGTCAAAATACGTTTGGAGTATTTTCAAAAACCGAAAAAAAATTATTTAGGAAGTCAAACATATAGGTATTGTAACTAATAACAATGTTACAGTAAATCTATATATATATAAAAGAAAGTCGTGTTAGTTACACTATTTATAACTCAAGAATGGCTAAATCGATTTGGATGAAAATTGGTGGGGAGGTAGCTTAGAACCAGGAGACGGACATAGGATACTTTTTACCCAATTCTTTTTTTTTACTTTTTACCGAAAATCAAGAACGGGAATGGGAAATATCGGGATTGCGCGTACGAAGTCGCGGGCAGAAGCTAGTATTCGTTAAAATTTAATGATCGTATTCATTTATCGATGTACATTTAACGATTGGCTAATCGTTTGATAATTTCATTTTCATTTACATCGGGCAGCGGTCGATATCATCGATATTAGCCAATCGTTTTATAATAAAATTGACGATAATTACCGCAAACGTTCAATTTTAACGCACGTGTTCACACGACATGATTTGTTTACAATTTTACACGAACATCAACCATTTTGCATTGGATTAAAGTTGTTTTTATGGAATGACGAAAACTTTAAGTCTTAACTTTAACAATAAATAAATGATTCTTTTGTTACTACATTCAGTAATTGAAAGATCATAAGTTTTTCTGAAAGTAATAATTAGAATGTAAATGGTGTATTCGGTATTTGATAGTAGGCTCCCATGTAATCATGGGACTCCAAAACATCTAAAAGTAGTGATTAATACAATATTGTAAATGGCATAGTCCACATATTTTATTTTATTGCCACCCCTACTTATTTCGCGGGAGTATACACTAGTAGGTATACACGACTGTATACCTAGTGTATATACTGTATACTAGTGCTGACGGGAGTATACACGACTGCCTCATTGACCGAGTGGTCGTAAGTGCGACTGCTGGGCAAGAGGTCTCGGGTTCGATTCCCGGTTCTGGCAAAGTATTACTGGGTTTTTAAAAATCTCAGTAGTAGCACGGAGTCTGAAAATGTGCCCGATATATGGCAATAGGCTCACCCCCTATTACATGGGACTCATAACATAAATAGTGAAAAGTAGGTGTTACATTGTACAGTGGCATTAAGTGCCGTAATGTGCATCTCTGCCTACCCCTTCGGGGATAAAAGGTGTGATGTTATGTTATTATGTTATGTATACACTAGTCGGTTCCTGACACGCGTGCGACATCCGACAGAGACCGGGTAACCACGCTCTATGATGACGAATCCTCTTTTTTAAACCGTGATGCGTTGCGACTATGGCTAACCCTAAGGACGTTGAAAAAGGGGGATATGATGCCACTAAGAAATAATTGAAGCACTAAAAGTGGGTTAGCTATGTGTGCGTGTGTAATGGTTTTTTTTTAAGATCTGAAAGTCATCGAATGACGTCTCTCGCCTGGGTTAGGCGGGAGGGAGTGTCAGACTCTTACTGACTAAAAACCACCCCGTTCCTTCCCCTGCACGTCGAGCCGGACCTCCGGTAACCCGTTAGGTTCTCCGCGACTCCGAATCGGCATCAACCCTGTTGGGCCCCATCCGTGGTGGTCTGGTGGCGCGCGCGGAACGCGTTACGCCGTACGCTTGGGTCTGTTTTTGGTCGGACGGGGAGCCACCCATGCTCGCCGTCCGCAGGCCCGCGCTTACGATGGCCGGAGATCGTCTCGCGATTCCCAACACCTGGAGTGTCCTTCGTGACGGCTGGGTGGCGAGGAGGCAACGCTTCGCTGCCTCACGCGTTCTGCTTCCTCCGGAGACAGCATCACAGTCCCTCTCGCTCCGGATCATGACCCACACAAGGGCCGGACGCGAGAGGTCGCCAATGACAGATGTCCTTCGTGTCAATGTATATGTTCTGCGTATAAGTCTATAGTAAGCAGGTGCCACAGTCATTGTACCAAAAGACTGTGTTCGCCTTTTTTCATCGTCCTTGGCTAACCCTCTTATGTAAAGAAATCCTTAGTTTTGGAAGGGTAATATAATTTTCTTACTTATCTAAACGTTTTTGAATTCCTATTTTAAAATAGTTCAATTTCTCAGTTCATCTTCAATTTCTTCAGACGAATTTAGGTCATTCTCTCAGAGCCCCAATGTCTTAAAATTAACGCGATCAATGCCTACACTTAACTCAGTAGTGACTTAGGCTTAGATTTAGTCCGTTCCTATTTGGGCTGTCTGATCTAGGCCCGAAATTTAGAGTGACGAACATACGAAATAGGGAAAGACAGTTCTAAATCTAGTTTTATCGTCGGATGTCAAGGTGTTGACTTTAATATTACTATTAATAATATTTAGTTGACGTAAGAGGGTGAGGTTTCAGAATGATTGGGATCAGTTCAGCCGGAGAAATAACCTAGCCTGACAGACAGCCAGCGCTTGCATTGCTTCCCTTTTGAATTGATATTATTTAGTACTAGCGAACCCGCCCCAGCGTCGCACGGGTGCAACATACATGTATTTTATACAAAAACCTTCCTTAACAATCATTTTATCTATTAAAAAACCGCATCTAAATCCGTTGCGTAGTTTAAGATCTAATCATACGTAGGGACAGACAGACGGCGGATAGCGACTTTGTTTTATACTATGTAGTGATATTTGGCGAGTATGTAATAAATTATATATCGTTTGTATAAAAATAAGTTGCAACTGTAAATAAAATAAATACTTAAAAATATTTTAACGTTAAATGCAATAGAGGATTACCTGAAGCTGACACGACGTTAGCGGATGATTAACGCTCAACATTTTCATTGGCATTTAAAATCTTAAGTAGGTACTTAAGTAGATAAAAATAACGAGATAATTTTCCGAGAAAATCTCTTGTAGAAGACAAGAATGTAATAACTACAAAACATTTTAATATGGAGTATATTAAAGTGTCTTACCTCGTCACTTGTTGAAGAAAATTCTTAAGCTTTCATTATTTAAATACCGCTAAACAAGGACCAAGTATCCACTTATAATGATCCCTTTGTTGTCATTAAACGGGAAGCGATAGCTAACCTTGCACTATATCAAAGCTGGAAGATTGAAGCGTAGAATAATAGAAGTAGCTTCTGGTTCTGGAAGCTACTTCGTACAAATAGGTTATGGCCGTGTTTACCTTGGCGAGAGCATTTTAGGTTAAATCCTCCCGTAGTCCTTTCCTACCATCATCTAAGAACATGTACATATGCCGAGTTTCAGCTTCCCAGGTTTAAAAGTTTCTGCTGCTCATTTTCCTACAGTCAGTCACTCATTAAAGGAAGAGTTTTACTATATTTATTTATTTAGAAAATTTACATATACGACACTACAGCTTAC